CACGAACCCCAGAAAACTCTGAAGCTCCGTGACATTAGTCGGGGCCTTCCACTCCTGTATGGTTTTAATCTTCGCCGGGTCGATTTTGATGCCGTCGCGGGAGATGACGTGCCCTAAAAACTCCAACTCCTGCTTAAAAAACTCGCACTTAGAGCCCTTGGTGATGAGTCGGTTCTCCTGCAACCGCTTAAAATCTGCGTCCAGGTCGCGGAGATGCTGCTCCCGTGTCTTGCTAAAAATCAGGATATCGTCCAAATAGACGATGACACATCGGTCTAGAAGATCGCGAAAAACCCTGTTCATGGTCAGTTGAAATGTCGAAGGCGCGTTCGTGAGGCCGAAAGGCATCACCGTGAATTCGTAACTCCCGTAGCGTGTACGAAACGCGGTCTTGTGACAATCGTCGGCGAAGACCCGAATCTGGTGGTAACCACCGCGTAAGTCGATTTTCGAGAAGTAGCGAGCGCCGCGAAGTTGATCGAGAAGGTCGTCGGTGCGTGGGATTGGGTAGCGAGACTTGATGGTCACCCGGTTCAACGCGCGATAATCGATGCACATGCGAAGCCCGCCGTCCTTCTTCGGAGTGAACAGGATCGGTGCCGCGAACGGGGAGGTGCTCGGCCGAATGAACCCTTTCTCCAACAGTGCGTCAATTTGTCGGCGTAGCTCCTCGAGTTCCGGCTGGGTCAACCGCCACTGTGTCCGAACAGTAGGTTGCGCGCCAGGTTCCAGCTGGATTTTATGGTCTTCGGGTCTCTCGGGTGGCAGCCCAGGTGGCAGATCGTCCGGGAAAATGTCGGGGTACTGTCGAATCAGCTCCGCTAAATCCGGAGGTACAGCTGCACACAGCTTCTCGATGTCTTTTCCGTCGGTGTCAACTGCCAACTCGCGCAAGCAGACGGCGAACAGCTGCGCACCCCTGTTGAAGTGGTGGGCGATGGTGATGGCTTTGACGCACGGGGCTTGGATGTAGTCAGGTGTCCATGCAGGCAACTTAATTAGCCCCTCGTGCTTGCTGACGCAGCACGATCCCGTTGTCCAGTCGATGACGGGGTTGTGTCGTCGCAGCCAATCACGTCCCAGCAGCACGTCGCAGCCATCCAGCGTCGTCGCGAGGAACTTCATGCTGAAGCCGAAATCTTCGCCGCACTCGATCCGCACCGTCCGTGTTTCTTCCGTTATCGCCAGAGGCGTCCCATCCACGAGTCGTGCGTCGATTTCGGGCAGACACCTGTCAAGTTGCATGTTGCATTTTTTTGCGCTCGCCAAGTTGAAGAGGCTATGGCTGGCCCCTCCATCGACGAACATTTTCAGATGATGTTTCCCCACCTTGCCAGCGACCAGCACAGGGTGATCCACATGATTATCCCCGTTATTCAGCCGACTGCGATCGATTGCATGAATCGGAACCACGACTCGGTGGGGATGGTGGTGTTCGGGCGACGGAGCATAGTCAGTAAAGGGCCCGTTACTTACTGACTCTTCCCATTTCCCTGCTCCTTCCTGTCGTCCCCTGTCAGCGGCATTTTCTCCCGGCAGTCTTTCTTGTAGTGACCCACCTTCCCACACCGAAAACACGGACCTCTAGGAGGTTGGTCGGGTGTATGGACGGCGTTGATCGTGGCCCGATGGGTCTGGCCACGAAAGCTTCTCCCATCCCTGGAAGCTGCTCTCGCGTACTGCATCAGCGCATCTGTTGACTCCGCCAGCCGTACAGCTTCGAGAAATGATGTCGGGCGGCCCCTGCGAACCTCGTACTGTATCTCGTATTTAAGTCCGCTTACGTATTTATCCAACCGCTCCGCTTCCGACATATCGTCCACTTGGTCGGCGAGGCCCATAAATGACGCTGTGTAGTCTTGGACAGATGCCATCTGCGACCATGCACGCAGCTTCATGCGAGCTTGCTCCGAGGCGGATACGTGCTCGAAGCGATCTCGCAAGGCTGCGCCCCACTCCTTCCACGTGCGAATCTTGGTCACCCCGAAGATAGGTTCTGCCGTTTGATGAACCACTGTAGAGGTCCCGTCTGCCGCATGTGTCACACCTGTCGGCGTCCCTGTTTCCAAGGTTCGGCGCCACCATTCAAGCGCAGCCCCTCGAAGAAGCGAAACCGCGTAATTAATACGCGTGGCGTCGTCGTTAACGCCGGCTGCCGTGAAGAAGACCTCGACACCGAACAGCCACCCCTTCACTGTAGTCGTCTTGTCCGTAGGATTAAACGGGGGCGGGTTGACGGGCTTGATCTTGATCGTCGTAACTGCAACTGGCGCTGCTGCCGCTCGCTGCCTGTCTTCTTCTTCGAAGTCACGTGTGAGCGCATCCAGCGGATTGCTCATCGCCTGACTGTTGCCCTCGCCTTCGTCCACAGGCGACGTCTGACGCGCTTCACCTCGCGTCTGGCGTAGCTCGGCGTTTTCCTCCTTCAGTGTTGTCACTTCCGCCATTAGTGATTCCATGCCCTTCTGCATTTCTGCCACTTGCGCCATCAGCCGGTTAACAGCCTCCTGATCCATGTGCCTAGCACTACGTCTGGTGGGCAGTCGGGTACCCGTGGCCGCCCGGCAAGTGAAAACACGAACTATCGGAGTCGGGCAGGATTGAATTAACAATCCCTGCAGCCAACCGTCGTGTAGTCACTAAACCAACCACACCCTATGCCACCAAACTACCCTCGAAAAGCGGGGTGAACTAGGAAAGTAGCTCTGATACCAGGTGTTATGAGTTGTAAAAGAGAGTGCGCAGGTAAACGAATATCGAGGCTGTGGGCGAGCGAGGTTGGGTGCAGGTTTGGCGATGGGAATGCCGAAGGCGACGCGGGGAGCCTCGGCAGCGTGGAAATCGCCCGAACGTGCGAACTCCGAAAATCGGGTTGTACGCGCAGCAGTCAACCCCGATAAGGAATTCGAGAAAATTCCTTACAGCGAGTCTAACTGTCTGACAATATGTTGATGAAACGTGTAACACTCGCGAAACTATGCGTAAATGCCTACGCGCTTCGCAATTTCGTTAGCCCGTGGAAGGCGCCATCCCAGACTTGGTGACTGCCGCGTCGATCGCAGCCGCAACAGCACGAATCACGTCCTCCGTGTCGACGGTAGCACGTCGCTGTGTCCAGCATCCGTTCACGGACCCTCCTGCCAAAACAAAGCTGGTGAGTAGGCTTGGTATACCGAACCAGCAGGGGCCAAGTTAACCAATAGCAACGCGTGGCAGGTGGTGGAAAGCAGTACTGTGCGGTTTCGCCAAGCTGATGGGCTATCCATTGCAAAAGCCCCAGGCCACGCCAGTCTCTGGGCACGTTTACAATGTGCCCGAGAAATGCATTTCCGGCACCAAGCTGGTATCGCACCAAACACGGGACTGCTCCCGGTGACAAGTGTACGGCAAAATAATCGGTTTTTGCGTGTAGATGTTCCCTGCGTTTCGCTACGTCTGCCCGAACTGTTTTTCAAGCCGACGAATCAAGACCCCTCTGCATCCCTTCAACTTGGTTCCATCCAGGTCGTCAAGTCATCCTCGCCCTTGAACTGTAATACCCCAACAGAGCTGGTCGGTTTCGACGGTGTAGATTTTCGCTGTCGCCATACGGTTAGCGCTTCGATAATTGGGCGGCGCGCCGATGTTGGTTTGGTTCTTCCCTCAGGGAGGTGTAGCGATGGAGGGAGGAAGTTCTGTCCGTCGGAATTCCCTAGGAAACCAAGAGCTTGCCCGAGGGATTCCAGCTCGGTAAACCAAGGCAGAACACGTGCACCAACTGTCTGATTGTAGCTTGGATTCGAGCCCTACTAATCTACTATCAGTTGCCTTCCTTGCCAGTTATCTGTTTCGTTTAAATGCTTGAGTCATTTCTAAGAACCAGGAACTCGTTCCTGAACCTCGCGAAGAAAGAAGATTGCTTTGTTGATTGACGTATTACTTGTGTTCCTTGATTCTCAAGGCGCCATTCTTTCTCTGCTCAGAAGAGGTGCCCGGTAGGAGTCATGGGTAGGTCGAACGGACACGGGTACCACTCGATCGGTCTAGAAACACGTACTCCAGTTGTGGACTCTGTGTCGCACGAATCTTTGCTCAGTTCGCGATCGTCGCATGCACTCCCCGTACCGTCGCCAGCGTCCTCAGCGTCACCCCTCTCACGCGTCTCTCGTGTATTTTCGCACATGTTGACGGCTCTCGGGATTAAACCGGGAGGATCTACAAACGAGGAGAGGAGCCATCGAATGGGGTATTCCATGGACTGGTTTCATTACGTGCTCGTTTCCGTCAACCTGTGCCTCCTCGTACTCGTTATAGCCGAATCGCTACCGCCATGGGTCACCAACTCTGATGCGGGAGCGGAATTGGCGGCAGCAGGGGGAGCGAGCGGAAGGCTACGCGGCGAATGGAGCCCTCTTTTTACCATGCAGCTGCGAAAGTCGCTGCTTGTCGCCCACGCTTCAGACGAAACTGGAGATTCCGCCGTGAGCCCATTCAAGTACGTGGTTAGCTGCTACGCGTGTCAGACCTAACCCAGCCTTCAGGCTCCCTAGATTTTCTGTTTTGTTTTTTTTAATCGTCCGTCTCATACTCATGTGATTTGGCTGCTCAAGGTGCCTTGTCAAGCCGATTGCAGACGATAGTCCCTGAAACTTTGCTCCGTATGCTTTCTTCTTGTTCACTCATCCGCATGCTCCCCTCCCTTGCCCCCAATTTTCCTCCCACGTGCGCAACCTCCCCGCACTTTTCCGCCAACCTCCCCTCAACCTCCTCGTAGTGACGCCGTGCTCCAAAGCAGTGCACCCGCCACGATTGACGCTACCGCCGCTGGCGTCTCCGATGGCAGCGTAGCGCCGCTGAGGCGACGACGAGTATGCTGGACGTCGTCAGGAGGTAAGATTTCGAGTAGCATGGAAATGAGCTGCGTGATTTTTAGGCTCCACATAAAGAGGTAATTCTTAATAGCATGGAAAGTATGAGTTGTGAGACGTCTCAGTAACAAAGTAAAAAGAACGATGACGAGTATGCTGAACGACATGTGCTCTCATCGCCTTCCGATTTACGCTAATCGCAGACGAGGTAGGTGTGCGGCCGACGTTCAAAGCAGCAACGGCCCATTTCCCACCATTAGCGCTCTCATGCGTTTCTCCCTACCCCCTCCCTTCTCATATTCATATGACTCCGCAAACTATGCGCGCTTCCTCCGTCGGGATTTTTGCAGCACCTAAAAATATTATTTTCATGCGACCACCCTTTCCCCCTCTCTTGCCTCTCGTATCCATGTTTTTCCGCAGACTATTCATCCTCGTCCCCCGCGGGAGTGGTGATCCACGGCTCAGGTTGCGCCACGTGTCTGCGCGGGCAGCGCTGCTCCTTCCGCGTGTCCGTGCGCGCGCCCGCGCGATGGGCGCACGTGCTGGAGGCGGACAAGGAGAGCTGGTGGAAGCGCGACTTAGCTCTGACTCTAAGAGGCATCGCGCTAGCTCACGGGGACATTAGGTGTCTAGACCCTCCGCACTGCACGGAGTTTAGAGTGTCGTACCGCGTCTGGGACCTCGGCAATTACTGGTGAGCCTATCTCGAAGCGCCACGAAGTGAGGTAGTTGATCTACTACTCACCAATCTTTCCAGCTGTTGTTTTCCCTGCACCGCCTCAAATCCCTCACAACCCCTTTGAACCTCGTGTAGATTCCCAACATTTGTTTTGCACCCAACGCCTTCCACCCTCGCTTGCGTTTCTCTCCCCATGTCTCTCCCATGCTTGCCCCCCTTGCTTCCCCCATGCTTCGCCCCCTGCTTCGCTCCCTGTTTCGCCCATGCTTTTCTCATGCATCCTCCCATGGTTCCCCAATCCTCCCCCCTCTCAGGGCGACACTGCACTTCTCCGCCACCTTTGCACCCAGCCTTCCCCATCCCGCCCCCCTCCCCCCCCTTTCCCCACCCCCCCCTCTCCTCCTTCCACTGACCCCCCAGGGCGACGCTGCACGTGGGGTGCGCCAATCTCAACTTCTCCGCCTCCTTTGCGCACCACTTCAATCGCACGCACCAGCACAGCCTCGCCTCCTGGCCCATCACAATCACGCCTCGTGCCGAGGCACTGGCCAGAATTAGCACCCTTGGCATTAGCAACGGCGTTGGCAGCAGCAGCAGCAGCAGCAGCAGGGGACAGCAGCAGACGTATCACCACCACAACCGCCGCGTACCCAGAAGCAGCAGGCGGGGAAAGTGGGGGGACTGGTGCGGGGGAGGGGGAGGGGTTGGGGGAGAGGGAGGGATTGGGGGAGAGGGAGGAGGAGCAGGAGGGGGTGCAGGATTGGCCGGACACTCCGTGCAATGGCACGTCCGTGCCGGGGCGATGGGTGGTGAAAGCAGATGGGTCACTCAGGTATGTAGATGGGTGCTGCTGGGTGAAGAGGGGTGTGTGTGCATCCGGGGGGTGCAGGATTGGCCGGACACTCCATGCAACGGCACGTCCGTGCCGGGGCGATGGGTGGTGAAGGCGAATGGGTCACTCAGGTATGTGCAAATGGGTGCGGCTGGGTGCAGATGGGTGAAGCGTGTGATGTTTGGGGTGCAACCATGCAATGGCACGTCAGTGCCGGGGCGATGGGTGGTGAAGGCGAATGGGTCACTCAGGTATGTGCAAATGGGTGCGGCTGGGTGCAGATGGGTGAAGCGTGTGATGTTTGGGGTGCAACCATGCAATGGCACGTCAGTGCCGGGGCGATGGGTGGTGAAGGCGAATGGGTCACTCAAGTATGTGCAAATGGGTGCAGATGAGTGAAGGGTGTGTGTGTGTGGTGCAGGATTGGCCGGACACTAGCTGGTTTTTGAGAATTCTCAAAAACCAGGATTGGCCGGACACTCCGTGCAGTGGCACGTCCGTGCCGGGGCGATGGGTGGTGAAGGCGAATGGGTCACTCAGGTATGTGCAAATGGGTGCGGCTGGGTGCAGATGGGTGAAGCGTGTGATGTTTGGGGTGCAACCATGCAATGGCACGTCAGTGCCGGGGCGATGGGTGGTGAAGGCGAATGGGTCACTCAGGTATGTGCAAATGGGTGCGGCTGGGTGCAGATGGGTGAAGCGTGTGATGTTTGGGGTGCAACCATTCAATGGCACGTCAGTGCCGGGGCGATGGGTGGTGAAGGCGAATGGGTCACTCAAGTATGTGCAAATGGGTGCAGATGAGTGAAGGGTGTGTGTGTGTGGTGCAGGATTGGCCGGACACTAGCTGGTTTTTGAGAATTCTCAAAAACCAGGATTGGCCGGACACTCCGTGCAGTGGCACGTCCGTGCCGGGGCGATGGGTGGTGAAGGCGAATGGGTCACTCAGGTATGTGCAAATGGGTGCGGCTGGGTGCAAATGGGTGCGGCTGGGTGCAGATGGGTGAAGCGTGTGATGTTTGGGGTGCAACCATGCAATGGCACGTCAGTGCCGGGGCGATGGGTGGTGAAGGCGAATGGGTCACTCAAGTATGTGCAAATGGGTGCAGATGAGTGAAGGGTGTGTGTGTGTGGTGCAGGATTGGCCGGACACTAGCTGGTTTTTGAGAATTCTCAAAAACCAGGATTGGCCGGACACTCCGTGCAGTGGCACGTCCGTGCCCGGGGCGATGGGTGGTGAATGCGAATGGGTCACTCAGGTATTAATGGGCGAGCATGGGTGCAGATGGGTGAAGCGTTGTGTGTGCGGGGTGCAGGATTGGCCGGACACTCCGTGCAATGGCACGTCAGTGCCAGGGCGATGGGTGGTGAAAGCAGATGGGTCACTCAGGTATGTCCGTTTAGATGGGCTTATCTGGGTGCAGATGGGTGATGATGGGTGCAAACGGGTGAAGCGCGTGTATGTGGGGGGTGCAAGATAGGTCGGATACTCCGTGTGTTGGGACGTCCATGATGGGGCGATGGGTGGTGAAAGCGAATGGGTCACTCAGGTATGTGCAAATGGGTGAGGATGGGTGCAGCTGCCTTTTGAGACTTCTCAAAAGTCGGACCGTATTATCCAGCTGCTTCTATTCCCCCTTTTCTTCCCCTCCCCCTCCCCCTCCCCCTCCCCCTCCCCCTCCCCCTCCCCCTCCCCCCCCCCCCCTCCCCCTCCCCCTCCCCCTCCCCCTCCCCCTCCCCCTCCCCCTCCCCCTCACCCCTCCCCCTCCCCCTCCCCCTCCCCCTCCCCCTCCCCCTCCCCCTCCCCCTCCCATCCCCCCAGGTGGGCTTTCTACCAGTGCGCCGCCCGCGAAATCCCCCCATCCGAGTGGATAGGCGCGTTACACGACCGGGGTATCCATGAAATCAGCATTGTGGGCGACAGTCACCAGCGGTTCCTGGCGGCACATCTGTACTACTTGCTCACGGCCCAGGCGGACCCGAATGTGCGGCGGTGGAAGGACAACCTGGTGTTTGATGCGAGAGACAGCAGCAACCGCACGCTGAGGATTAACTTCTATTGGATCGATGGTATCTATAAGAACGGGGAGTTCGGCTGCACGTGAGTCTCCTGATGGGCTTTGGATGAGTTTCAGTAGACTTTGGATGGGTTTGATTGGGCTTTGAATGTGTCTGAATGGGCTTGAATATTCAGAGGTATTCCCACGTGTACTGCAATGGGCGGCGGTGGCAGGACAACCCTGGTGTTTGAAGCGACTGATAGCAGCAACCGCACTATCCTACCAATCACCAAGGGGTCACCACCAATCAATCGGAGGAATTTCCTGAGATCTGCACAATTGATTTCTTTTTGAGACGTCTCAAAAGATCTGCACCACTGATTTCACTCGCCACAGAAGATTCCTTATCTCACGGGAAAAGTATTGGGCTAACATCTCCCCCAACTCCTTCCTTCCTCACCCTTTTCCCCTCCAGCCACCGAGGGGTCACAACCAACCGGTCGGAGGAATTCCCGGAAATTTCCCCCACGGCTGACGTCACGCTCTTTGAGGGAGGCTACTGGGCAGCTTCCTTCTGCCGCCAGCCCCTCAAGGCCCTCCGACTGCACCTCGAGGAGTTCGCTCGTTGGGCGCTTGCCGCCGCGCCCTCTAAAGGCAGGGTTATTTTCCGAACTATCCCGTCGTTTCCGGTGGCGGGGGACCGGTGTAATGCGTGGTACCCCGGGCCGAGTTCGAACAGGGTGGTTATGGCGATTAATGTGCTGCTGAAAAGGATAGTGCAGGGGGGAGGAGTGGAGGGGGAACGGAGAGGAGTGGGGGAGGAGGGGAATGTTGCTGAAGGATTGAAGGCATGGTGGGGAGAGGAGATACGAGGGAGGGATGTTGGTGGGGAAGGAAGGAGAAGTGGAGGAGGGATAGAGAAGCTTGTGTATCTTGATTCGAGCTTGCAGGTGTTACCGCAGGACTCTGAGGAGGGAGAGGGCACAGGGAGAGCAGGAGATGAGAGCAATGCAGCAGCGGAGAGCAATGGAGCAGCGGAGAGTAATGGGGCGGCTGAGAAGCATGGGGGAGTGGATATAGAAGAGGCGGATGAGATTGCTGCAGCTGCTGGTGCTGCTGGCGGTGTTGGGGGTGGTAGTGGTGATGGTGGTGACAGCGGTGAGAGCAGCAGCAAATCGTCACCATCATCCTCAGCATTATCGACAACATCATCATCACCACCACCACCACCACCAGCAGCAGCAGCAGCAGCAGCAGCAGCAGCAGCAGCAGAAGCACAATCTGCTGAGCTGGCAGCGTTACCAGCAGGGGCAGCAACAGTGCTGGACACGTGGCAGGTGGACGCCCCTCGGTATGCCGACACAGCCGTGCCCAACGACCACCATTACTCCATGGTGAAACCCACAAAGGCAGGCACTGTGATGGTGGGGGAGGTGGGGGAAGCACAGATACGCGCATTCATTCACTACCTGCTGCACCTGCTGCCCCCAGTTCATGCTAGTGCGCGCTAGCTGACGTTAGGTCCTAGCGAAGGACCTGCTCTGAAACCATGTCAGAATGAACGGACTGGAATGATTGAACTAACAGAGAAATCAGTACAAATAGCTAACCCTAGAATTGTGTACCCCATATAGGCTAACCCACTGTAGCCTAACAAACCCAACATATATAATGTTTGACACGACGGGCCGCGCGCGAAGAAAATAAAGCGCGCGCGGGCAGCTGGCGGGGCGCACGCGTGAAAACGGCCGCGCGCGAGCGGCTAGTACGGCGCGCGCGGTAAAAAAAAAAAGGAAAGCCACGCGCGGGCGGCTAGCGAGCTGCGTGCGCGTGGTAGGTAGGTAAGGAGCGCTCTAGGACGCGCAGGCGCACGAGGCGCACAGTAGGTAGGTAGGTAGGTAGGTGGGCCCTAAGAACAGTCCTAGCGACGGACCTGCTCTGAAACCATGTCAGTGATAACGGACTGGAATGGTGAACTAGAAAGGATTGTGAGTACAAATATGAAACCCTAATGTTGTGACCCCCCTATAGGCTAACCCACTACAGCCTACACAAACACAACACATATAATGTTTGACAGTGTAGCCGTGGGTGAATAGTCCTGTAAGTAGCGGGTTCGAATGGGTTATCAGTACAGCAGCGGATTGTACGGTCGGTCTGGTCAGGGCGTCGGCGATGTTATTCGCCCCTTTCTTGTACGTGATGCGGTAGGTGAAGTGGCTCTCCATGTAATCCAGCCACCGAATTTGTCGCGGGTTGAGGTTCGGTTGAGCTCGCAGGTACTGTAGGGACTTGTGGTCCGTGCGCACAGTGACGTCGGCGCCCACCAGGTAGCAGCGCCACAGTTTGAACGCGTGGATTATGGCGAGCATCTCCTTGTCGTGGATCGGGTAGTTGCGCTCGGCAGCTTGCAGCTTGCGTGATTCGTAGGCGATCGGCTGCAGCCCGTTCCCGAAATCCTGGAGAAGCACTGCTCCGATGGCGAAATCAGAGGCGTCGGTTACGACTTCGAACGGCTTCGATGGGTCGGCGATGCGCAGCACAGGAGGGGAAACGAGAAAATTCTTGAGCTCCTGGAAAGCCGCCTCTGCCTCCTCCCCCCACACGAAATTCTTGTCCTTGTGCAGCAGGTCGGTCAGCGGGCCGGTTATCCCCGCCATATTCGGGATAAACCGCCGGACGTAATTCACGAACCCCAGAAAACTCTGAAGCTCCGTGACATTAGTCGGGGCCTTCCACTCCTGTATGGTTTTAATCTTCGCCGGGTCGATTTTGATGCCGTCGCGGGAGATGACGTGCCCTAAAAACTCCAACTCCTGCTTAAAAAACTCGCACTTAGAGCCCTTGGTGATGAGTCGGTTCTCCTGCAACCGCTTAAAAACTGCGTCCAGGTCGCGGAGATGCTGCTCCCGTGTCTTGCTAAAAATCAGGATATCGTCCAAATAGACGATGACACATCGGTCTAGAAGATCGCGAAAAACCCTGTTCATGGTCAGTTGAAATGTCGAAGGCGCGTTCGTGAGGCCGAAAGGCATCACCGTGAATTCGTAACTCCCGTAGCGTGTACGAAACGCGGTCTTGTGACAATCGTCGGCGAAGACCCGAATCTGGTGGTAACCACCGCGTAAGTCGATTTTCGAGAAGTAGCGAGCGCCGCGAAGTTGATCGAGAAGGTCGTCGGTGCGTGGGATTGGGTAGCGAGACTTGATGGTCACCCGGTTCAACGCGCGATAATCGATGCACATGCGAAGCCCGCCGTCCTTCTTCGGAGTGAACAGGATCGGTGCCGCGAACGGGGAGGTGCTCGGCCGAATGAACCCTTTCTCCAACAGTGCGTCAATTTGTCGGCGTAGCTCCTCGAGTTCCGGCTGGGTCAACCGCCACTGTGTCCGAACAGTAGGTTGCGCGCCAGGTTCCAGCTGGATTTTATGGTCTTCGGGTCTCTCGGGTGGCAGCCCAGGTGGCAGATCGTCCGGGAAAATGTCGGGGTACTGTCGAATCAGCTCCGCTAAATCCGGAGGTACAGCTGCACACAGCTTCTCGATGTCTTTTCCGTCGGTGTCAACTGCCAACTCGCGCAAGCAGACGGCGAACAGCTGCGCACCCCTGTTGAAGTGGTGGGCGATGGTGATGGCTTTGACGCACGGGGCTTGGATGTAGTCAGGTGTCCATGCAGGCAACTTAATTAGCCCCTCGTGCTTGCTGACGCAGCACGATCCCGTTGTCCAGTCGATGACGGGGTTGTGTCGTCGCAGCCAATCACGTCCCAGCAGCACGTCGCAGCCATCCAGCGTCGTCGCGAGGAACTTCATGCTGAAGCCGAAATCTTCGCCGCACTCGATCCGCACCGTCCGTGTTTCTTCCGTTATCGCCAGAGGCGTCCCATCCACGAGTCGTGCGTCGATTTCGGGCAGACACCTGTCAAGTTGCATGTTGCATTTTTTTGCGCTCGCCAAGTTGAAGAGGCTATGGCTGGCCCCTCCATCGACGAACATTTTCAGATGATGTTTCCCCACCTTGCCAGCGACCAGCACAGGGTGATCCACATGATTATCCCCGTTATTCGGCCGAGTGCGATCGATTGCATGAATCGGAACCACGACTCGGTGGGGATGGTGGTGTTCGGGCGACGGAGCATAGTCAGTAAAGGGCCCGTTACTTACTGACTCTTCCCATTTCCCTGCTCCTTCCTGTCGTCCCCTGTCAGCGGCATTTTCTCCCGGCAGTCTTTCTTGTAGTGACCCACCTTCCCACACCGAAAACACGGACCTCTAGGAGGTTGGTCGGGTGTATGGACAGCGTTGATCGAGGCCCGATGGGTCTGGCCACGAAAGCTTCTCCCATCCCTGGAAGCTGCTCTCGCGTACTGCATCAGCGCATCTGTTGACTCCGCCAGCCGTACAGCTTCGAGAAATGATGTCGGGCGGCCCCTGCGAACCTCGTACTGTATCTCGTATTTAAGTCCGCTTACGTATTTATCCAACCGCTCCGCTTCCGACATATCGTCCACTTGGTCGGCGAGGCCCATAAATGACGCTGTGTAGTCTTGGACAGATGCCATCTGCGACCATGCACGCAGCTTCATGCGAGCTTGCTCCGAGGCGGATACGTGCTCGAAGCGATCTCGCAAGGCTGCGCCCCACTCCTTCCACGTGCGAATCTTGGTCACCCCGAAGATAGGTTCTGCCGTTTGATGAACCACTGTAGAGGTCCCGTCTGCCGCATGTGTCACACCTGTCGGCGTCCCTGTTTCCAAGGTTCGGCGCCACCATTCAAGCGCAGCCCCTCGAAGAAGCGAAACCGCGTAATTAATACGCGTGGCGTCGTCGTTAACGCCGGCTGCCGTGAAGAAGACCTCGACACCGAACAGCCACCCCTTCACTGTAGTCGTCTTGTCCGTAGGATTAAACGGGGGCGGGTTGACGGGCTTGATCTTGATCGTCGTAACTGCAACTGGCGCTGCTGCCGCTCGCTGCCTGTCTTCTTCTTCGAAGTCACGTGTGAGCGCATCCAGCGGATTGCTCATCGCCTGACTGTTGCCCTCGCCTTCGTCCACAGGCGACGTCTGACGCGCTTCACCTCGCGTCTGGCGTAGCTCGGCGTTTTCCTCCTTCAGTGTTGTCACTTCCGCCATTAGTGATTCCATGCCCTTCTGCATTTCTGCCACTTGCGCCATCAGCCGGTTAACAGCCTCCTGATCCATGTGCCTAGCACTACGTCTGGTGGGCAGTCGGGTACCCGTGGCCGCCCGGCAAGTGAAAACACGAACTATCGGAGTCGGGCAGGATTGAATTAACAATCCCTGCAGCCAACCGTCGTGTAGTCACTAAACCAACCACACCCTATGCCACCAAACTACCCTCGAAAAGCGGGGTGAACTAGGAAAGTAGCTCTGATACCAGGTGTTATGAGTTGTAAAAGAGAGTGCGCAGGTAAACGAATATCGAGGCTGTGGGCGAGCGAGGTTGGGTGCAGGTTTGGCGATGGGAATGCCGAAGGCGACGCGGGGAGCCTCGGCAGCGTGGAAATCGCCCGAACGTGCGAACTCCGAAAATCGGGTTGTACGCGCAGCAGTCAACCCCGATAAGGAATTCGAGAAAATTCCTTACAGCGAGTCTAACTGTCTGACAATATGTTGATGAAACGTGTAACACTCGCGAAACTATGCGTAAATGCCTACGCGCTTCGCAATTTCGTTAGCCCGTGGAAGGCGCCATCCCAGACTTGGTGACTGCCGCGTCGATCGCAGCCGCAACAGCACGAATCACGTCCTCCGTGTCGACGGTAGCACGTCGCTGTGTCCAGCATCCGTTCACGGACCCTCCTGCCAAAACAAAGCTGGTGAGTAGGCTTGGTATACCGAACCAGCAGGGGCCAAGTTAACCAATAGCAACGCGTGGCAGGTGGTGGAAAGCAGTACTGTGCGGTTTCGCCAAGCTGATGGGCTATCCATTGCAAAAGCCCCAGGCCACGCCAGTCTCTGGGCACGTTTACAATGTGCCCGAGAAATGCATTTCCGGCACCAAGCTGGTATCGCACCAAACACGGGACTGCTCCCGGTGACAAGTGTACGGCAAAATAATCGGTTTTTGCGTGTAGATGTTCCCTGCGTTTCGCTACGTCTGCCCGAACTGTTTTTCAAGCCGACGAATCAAGACCCCTCTGCATCCCTTCAACTTGGTTCCATCCAGGTCGTCAAGTCATCCTCGCCCTTGAACTGTAATACCCCAACAGAGCTGGTCGGTTTCGACGGTGTAGATTTTCGCTGTCGCCATACGGTTAGCGCTTCGATAATTGGGCGGCGCGCCGATGTTGGTTTGGTTCTTCCCTCAGGGAGGTGTAGCGATGGAGGGAGGAAGTTCTGTCCGTCGGAATTCCCTAGGAAACCAAGAGCTTGCCCGAGGGATTCCAGCTCGGTAAACCAAGGCAGAACACGTGCACCAACTGTCTGATTGTAGCTTGGATTCGAGCCCTACTAATCTACTATCAGTTGCCTTCCTTGCCAGTTATC